AACGGCACCTGGCCTCCTCTCCCCCCTTTTTATGGCAGGTCAAGCAACCAGTTTAAAATAATATTCCCACTATTCTACTATTGATCTATGCGTAGCAATAAAAGTAAAAGCAATAAAAAACAATTGAAGGTTCTGGCTTGCGTAGATCCTGACAGAGACCTTACATTTTTAAAAAATAGCTTTCTTTCATTGAGATTGGTTGCTGAAGTCATGTAAGAGTGAAAATAAAAATAAAGTGTGTCTTGAGATGTACAGTAGGTGACATGCAAAAGGCTTTATTTGTCTTCCTTCACCTTGAACATTTGTCTTTTTGTTAGTGTTCTATTAATGTGTCACTTATAGGCCAGTGCAAAGGTTAAATTTTGCAGTGCAGTGCCTGTTAGTTTGCAAGACGGTATGATGTGGCTGCAAGAAAAAAGTAAGAACAATTCTTTTAAAGATGACAGATTTTTCAGTGGCATTCCTCACAATATTGTCCTTCTTTTATAAGAAAGCCATTATAGGAAATAACATTTTCCAGTTGGGTGTCACAGAAGTCATAGTTAAAATGTTTTTCTAAAAATTATATAGGTTATCAGATAGCATTGTGGGGATGTTGACATGTATTTTAGGAAGCTTCCTAAGAAAAAGAAAAGAATAAATGTCTATATGTAATTATATAAAGATTCTTAAAGACAAAGGCTAAGCTGGCATTTAATTAATAATGATTTATTAAATAATCCACAATTAAATGAATCCACATAAAATGCCAGGCCAAAAAAGAGAGTTTATTATAGCTGGACATATATAAGATGCTAAGCCAAAACCAAATTTAAGCACCTTGATCTGGTTTACACATTATGCTATGGTTTAGAATCGAAAATCATTTGAAGATGGCAAGATTATAAATATTTCTCTTACATAACGTATGGAACACACAGCATGCTGAGAGTCTTTGTTAAACTACAACAACTTTATTGGATACAGTTTCCTTAAGCATTATGCATTCACATATGCACACATAGGTGTTTACTCACTATGAATTGGCCCTTTTGGTAAGGGGTTTGGGAGACAGGAGGTGCCAACATACTTGAATGGCAAAGTCTGTCAACGTGAGGTCTCTTACAGCTTTCTTTTTCATCTTTTGCCAACAATATCCATCACACCTTCCTTTCTACATCACATCAGTTTTTCATTGACCATTACATAACCTATTGCATGATGGTTCTTATCTCTGGTATCTGGTATCCAGACCTGGTCAGCTGGCTTTCTTGATTTCACCCACTGTGATATCTGCATTTTTCCTTGGGTTCAAATTCTGTTCATCTGTTTCATTTCTTGAGCATTTTGGAAATGTTTGATTTGTGCTTGAATAAAGCAGAGGAACACATCATAAAAGTACAGCAGTTATAAATACATCAATGCTTTGATGAGCTCCAGTTATGTTGGCACACAAAAATACCTTGATGAGCGCCAGGTATTTTTGGCCCATAAGAGGTGGATGGCTTCAATGCTTTATACTAGGGCTAGGCAAATCATTCAAGGGGTGTTTTGCAAAATGAGTGCAGTCCCCTTCAGAACCTGCTGCTTGAAGCATTGAGGTAGATGTGCCTTTTGAAGCTTGGCTTGGCCATTTTCAGGTTCTCCCCATATCATCTAAGCATACAGAGAAGCCCTTCAGCAGTTATCTGAATGGAACTGCCTACGTTACTGCACAGGTATGCTCAGAAGACATGGAGAGAGCTCTGAACTGGCTGCTCCAAACCTTAGAGAATTGTGGCTTCCTTAAGGCTTCAAGATTTAGAGGGATGCTTTGGTTGCTTCACAAAGCATCCACCTAAAGGATTTGCACAGCTCAATTATTAGTTGGAGTTACAAAAGGATCTGTTGCACAAAAATTATCAGATATCTTAACACCTTCATATTTGCATGGTAGAAACTTGGTGGCAAATTATTGAGATGTCTGCATTTTCCTGCAAGGTTATGAAACAACTTTAGGGATGAGATCACTGAAATCCTGATCATTTAAAACATTATTTATATTTAATTGGGATGAGGTGAGGACAACTGCATATAGAAATGTCATGGGTGCTTTGACATCCGTGTCACCCGTGACATTGCCAGTAGAACATGATAACGCTACTGGTAATCACAATGAACAGATTCATCCCTAGGAGTTAAGTAGAATATATCAAGTGATGTTTGAGATACTCACAAATAGACTCATGCACTGATAGTGCAATCTAGTGAATGATTATTCAGAATAAATCCCACTGTGTTTGAAATTGGTTATACCCAGCAGGAAAGTACATATAGGATTGTTTTGATAGTCTCCTGGGCCTATTTCTAAGAAAGCATCCTTTCTATACTCAGATTGTTGGTTAGTTAAAATTTCCTTATGAGACCTGAGAAGACCCTTAGATAACTAATTTCGGCTGCATTTCACAGGTTCTTAAGTATTCAAAATGGAAGCACAGAAGGCAAATACATTTTCCCCAAATTCTCTGGGACAAGATGTGAATCCTGATCTTGACATTGAACGAAAAAATATCTCTTTCACCATTGAGCGCCTTACCAATATACTGGATGGTGGAGCAGAAAACACCAAGATCCGGAGAGAAGTCGGTTAGTAGATAACTCAAAAGAGCTCATGACAAATTTAACAGCTTTTTGTTTTTTGTTTGACCTGTGTGTGTCTCTCTCTATCCTATGGACATCCTCCATCATTGCAATGCTGCATATGTTTTTTTCAGGCTGGAGTTATTTCTTTGATTTTAGGCTGTAGCAGCCAAAACAAGCAGCAGACATGAAAGCCAGGCTAACTGCATTCTATGTAGTCTTTGGAACTTAGCTTATGAAATTATCAGTTTTAAAGGAAAAAAGAGTAAGTCCTCTTGATCAAGGAGAAAAACATGCAAAAAAAAAAGTGTGCACATAGAATTCAGCAACAAAGAGGATCTTGACTGGAGATTTTTGTTTTTAATGTCAACAGAAGAATTTTTATGTTTCACAAAGTTCTTGTCCTATCCCTGTTGCTGAGAAAAACCATGTGGTTCAGCATCAGAGAATATATTTTACATACAGAAGATTCCAAGTTCAGTCTAATCCAGAAATCCTGAGTATATACTACAGTCAGTCCTAACTAGTTGGGTCAATGTTCTGACAGAGCATTCCTTAGTAAACCTGTGAGTTTTGCAACAAATTATCATTACAAATGATCTTCATATTTTCAAGAGGGTGGTATGTAATATCACAGCACCCTTAGTGGTAATACTTGCTTCTTTGCCCTATGATACAAAATATAATCTGAAATCTGTAAAATGAATAGTAACAAATTCATTAAATCTGAAATCTGTCCTTCTCAGGCCAAGGCTGAAGAACAGATCACTGGTTGTGACATCTAGGCTGATTTTGGGCCTTTGTAATTACTACTCCCATTTTCACTTTTTATACATTGTCACTTGTTGAAAAATCCTGAAAACTTGCATAACCTCTTGGGAGTTGGCTTGGCTCTAAATATATCATTGTGAAACTATGGATCTTGGTAATTTACTCTTTAGAGAGCCACTGCAGCTATCGTTTAAAAAAAATAAATTAAGCCAGTCAAATTAAAAAAAATAGTCATCTTTAATTAAAGAATTGTGAATGTTGAGGTTAGAACTCACAGAGTACACTAAAGTCAGTGCGTGTGTGTGACTTCGAGTCAGTCTTGACTCGTGGCAAGTGCCTGGACAAGTCCCTGCAGTTTTCTTGGCAAGATTTTTCAGAAGTGATTTGCCCTGGCCTCCTCCTCCTTCCTAGGGCTGAGAGAAGGATTGGCCCAAGGTCCCCAACTGGCTTTGTGCCCAAGGTGGTAGCCTGATGCCTTAACCACTGCACCCAACTGGCTCTCATTACATCATAGGTGCTACAAAATAATTTTGGGCTATAGTTTATGTCTTTTTCACTGCTTACCCTTGGTATTAAGTAATGCATGCTAAATAAATCTGAATGTATTGTATGTTTCACCTTTTTGTGATTCCTTTGCTGCCATATTGGAATGTTTTTTCCATTCAAAAGTACTACTGATCAACATAGAAACAACATTATCTGTAGAGGCAGCGATTTTGGAAGTAGCAGCTAAACTTTCCTCCAGTTTAAACTTGCAGAAGCAACCAGAAGTTCCTACAGTCATTTGCAACACTCCAGGGAATTCTTTATGGCAGGATCTGAGGAAATAACTGAAAATACTGTCATGCCCTTCCTATCCCATCCTGTGCTGAAAGAGTGGTTGTATTCAACAGAGGCTGTGCTCCAGGCTGATCCAGAATTTAGCCAAGAAAACCAGTATTTCCAGAACCAAAATGAAAGATATGAAAATGCTATCAGAAAATCTGTTTACTTCTTACAAAAGAAAGCTGAAATGGGATGGAAGGAAGATGGCCCAGAACAGAAGTACTGCTATAGGTAATTTGAATTCTGTAGTACTTTTTCCTACATCAGTGAGTACAGAAACACATTGTATTCCTTAATAGATTTGGACAGCTGCAATCGTAACCACACGTTACAAGACATGTGACCTACTGAAAGCAGCAGGATTTACATGCATAGGATTGCAATGTAAACTAATTACATTACTGGAAGCAATTAGGTATTAATTTTGTTTTCTGCTCTGAGTATTTTCTTGGAGGCTGTGTGCAGGGATAATGAGAGGGGCAGATGCTGGGTTAGGGAAATGGGTTAGCAAGCTTTTTCAAGTGGTTTGTGGTTGCAATTTTTAGAAAAGGGGAAAGCAACACAACTTGAAATACTTCTAGAAAGAAACAGATCTCACTGATGGAAGCTAAACAGGATTGCTCCACTGAAATTTTAAACACCTCCCCCTCACTGTCTACTAATGAATTGTGTATTGAACACATGTTTGTGGGTCAGTGTTAAGAGATATAATGGCATCTGTGTTTTTGCAGGTTTCTTAGTAACGATTTGGCATTTAACATACACATAGTCTTTATGAAGAGCATTTTGGCATTAGGCACCAGTGAACAAATCAACAAATGGATTCCCTTAGCAAAAAAGTATTTCATCATAGGAACCTATGCCCAGACTGAATTGGGACATGGTAAGTGTCCTTGGCAGGTAAAGTGATCCAGATCTTTGCTTTGATAAACTTAACGCCAGTGATTCATTAAGTGCTATTATTTGATATGAACTGACTTGCAGCTCTCCTCCTTCACTCAATACGCAGGAAGGTGAAAGAAGCAGGATTTTCTCAGTAGGACTTCTCTTGGGCAATCATAGCAAGGGCTAGGACTACTTGCCCCATTTTGTGACATCTTCAGCAGAGTCCTTTTTCTTGTTCTCACACAATAAAGTTGGATCAAGAGGATGAGCTAAATGCAAATCAAATGCTCTAAAATCCAGTTTGTTTACTGAAGTTTTGTGGAGGAGGCTGTAAGCATAATGCTTAGTGATCCTGTAATGGGAAGTAGGAATAACCTTGAGGAACAGGAGGAAGAGTCACAACCAAGGACGTGGTTAGATAAACTAAATCTGAGTCCAGGACAGAAATATAATTTGAGAAAGAATCTCAGACAGGATCTTCCCTAGTTCTCATGAAGATAAAGGGACCGGGGAAGCACATTCCGATTTGTAAGACTCTATTACTGTAACCTTATAATAAAAGTAGTATTAGCATTCATAACTCTGGATTCCTAGGCTGCTCTACCTTGAAGGGCTGACAGATCCTAATGCTACTTTCTAATGCTGTTGGGAGATCAGTAATTATAATGCACTTTTTACAGATATTGGCTAGATTCAGAATTCTTAATATGCATACCTATATGTCATTCATTGACCTATATTGTGTGCAGTGCCTCTGTTGAATATCTTGTTCCTCAAGGTGAGAGCAGCTGAAGATGATAGCTTTCTATATTTATTCTATAGTGGCTGCTTCACACAGGCAAATCAGTAATATAGTACTGAAAGTGTTAAAGATGGGCCTGGAGCTGGGGATCCATATCCTTGGGGCTGAGGAACCTTTTAAAAGCAATAGCAGCAATCTCACCCCACCATCTCTATCACATTTCCTTCATTCCTGACTTGGAGTATGCTGTAAAAACCTGTTTTTGCATATTTTCAACATACAGTAGTTCCATTTGCCAAGGTCAATCAGTTTATCAAGAGGGCTTATTGGTTAGTGCTTGTGATACCACGTATCTACTACATCATCTTCACAGCAAATTTTGCCACAGGCTTTTTTATTGTTTAAATGTTATATAGCAGAGAGTATATATGCTTATATCTGGCTCTGTGCACTGTTTTAATTTTTTTGTTTTAAGTGAAGCAGAAATGAATTTGTGCTTGCTTAACTGATTAAACAAGTCTCACCCTTTATGTGAGACTAATAACTAACAAGGATGCTAATAAAACCCATCATGGTGTGACTGTTACATCTCTGTTCGCCCTCAGTAGCTATGGAAAACTCTCGGCCTGATGTTTGAACCTAGTTTTTACAATTTATTTCACAGATTTACAGAAGCTCTCATTAATATGACAGTTTGAATTGGTTTTCATTTATGATTTTCCTCATTGTTGTATGGCCACTTCCCTCATCATAGCGTATCCCATCACCATCACCATCACTCTTTGCAATCAACTGCAGACCAAATTACATAAAGAAAAATCATTATAGAAAATAGAATGTAAAGATTAAAGAAAAAAAGTATTGGTAACCTCCATGTGTTCCAACCAGTTGGCAGCAAGCAGTTATGTTTACCAATGCTTAAGTTAGGAGGTCTAGCATTTGATCAGCTCTACGCTCTGGGCACCATCACAGGCAAAGCTTTTGCTTACGTAACTTTTAGCACAACGTCCTTTAATTCAGCTCTCTTTTACAGTCATTGAGCAGTATGAGGCAATGTCGTCAACAGCAGTGAAAGCAAAGTCCTTTCTCCAACTATCTGTTATGTTTTTTCTCTAAGCAATTTTAGGGGCTTTTAAGTCCACCTGGGTAGGCACCCAAACTCCCAGCCTATAACCAGAGATGCAGAATGATGTTAACTTTGTTGTAAAAGCTCAAGCTGACCTTTAGGTCATAGCCACTTAGTGGCCACTTAGTGGCTATGAGCTCTGAAGGATGGAGTGGAAAAATTGGTCATAGTAAGCTGTTAGTCAAATTCAGCCTGACAGTGATCTTATGATTTAGCATTGAATTTCAGGGAACCTCTTATTTATTGATGTGCATGTGTATGTGTTTTAAGATTATGGATGCTGTAAGTCCGGAGGAAATTAGATTAATGTCATAATGTCAGCTTCGCTCCTGAAATCATGTCAGGAAGGTTTAAAAAATCACAACCTTACTTTTAACGGACATCCTTGCAAGGATGGAACTTGCTCATACCAAAGGAAAACTTGCTTTCATTCCTGAGGAGAGACCAGCTAGGATGCCTAAATCTTGCTAGCAAATACTCAGTCTACTGCTAGTCGTCTGGTGTCCAGAAAACTGTCACCTTTATCTTTTTGTTATAAAGGATCTAATCTTCGGGGTTTGGAGACAACAGCCACATTTGATGTGGCCACTCAGGAGTTTATTCTCAACACGCCAAGCTTCTCTGCCATGAAATGGTGGCCAGGAGACTGTAAGTAGCAAGTACACTGGTGAGTTGGATCTATATGGGAGGAATCTTTAAGTTCATTTCTTCTGTTGTTTCCCCCTGCCCCCCAGCCTTTAAGATAATTTAATGTGAAGGCTACAACTTACTCAGTGGAATCATTACAAGTGAAGACATTCCAAAATCACATAGAGCTATGAGGACTAAGCAATGAACTATTCAAGTCGATTATCAAATGTTTGGGTCTTATCTTCTTTATGACAACTTTAACATTAAATCAAATAGCTAGTGAGATTATATTAGTAAGATCTGAATATTCTAGTTTATTTTTTAAGCAAGTGATAATTTCTTTTCTCCCCTTCCCTTTCTTATTGCAGTGGGGCGAAGTGCAACTCATGCTGTGGTTTTTGCTCAGCTTTATCTGAAAGAACGTTGTTATGGCATGCATCCATTCATCGTACAAATTCGCAGCCTCAGAGATCATTCTCCAGCTCAAGGTAATGTTCTTCTGAAGTTCTTGATAAGAGTAAGCTAGGCATGTTTTCATTCTCCCAGACACTGGGCATTAATCACCATGAACCTAAGAGTGCTAAATTCTCTTTATGATCTGTCTAGAATCTCCCTAAGTATCAATGTAAGACTACTCTGTAGTTTCCTAGATTTTTCTTTTTCCCCTTTCTGAAGACAGAGTCACCATTTGCTCTCCTCCAGACGTCTTGCATTTCACCACTTCTCCTGGATTTTTCATGCAACACCCTTCTGTTTTTGGTTGCCTGAGGGAACATATGCCCTTAGTTGAGAAACACTAAACCAATGTAAGAGGTCAATAGCTCTGTCTGATATTTTTGTTTCCTCTTATTTTGAAAGTATCTAAAGAAGCCCTTTTTGTTATACTTAGCATCCTTTACTAACCTCAGCTCATTCTGAGCTTTTGCTTTCCTGACACCATCTCTGTTGTTCCAGGTTACCTGCTTGTACTCTTCCTTCTCATATGGATCCTTTCCATACATAAAGAGATGTGAGGGAATGCAAGCAGGTGAAGGGCTAGTGAAACCGCTGCAAAATGGACTGCAAAAGAATGCATTGCAGAAGATCAGAAAACTTAAAAATTTAGCCCGTAATTGTACACATATTGTCCAGAGAGAAGTGCCATTGAATTCAGTGGTATTACTTCTGAATAGACACGTACAAGAGATAAGAGAAGGAAGCTTATTAAAAACATTTTTTTCTCTTTCTCCAAACTGCCTAGCTTCTTGCTCAACTTTTTCAGTAGTAGTCTTAAGTGATTTCCCAGCAAAGCCTTCCACTAAACCTGGCCCCCTTAGCATTTCTTTTAACAAACTAGTTTTGTATCCCCATTGTACAACAGAAGATTTTCATTTTATGAAATCAAGTTAATGTTTTCATTTTGCTTCTTTTATTCCTCAGGAATAACTATAGGGGATATTGGTCCCAAAATGGGCTTTCAGAATATCGACAATGGCTTTCTCATCCTGAAGAATGTCCGTGTTCCAAAAGAAAACATGCTGGCCAGGTTCTCTCAGGTATAGATAGATAGCTCTCAGGTATTCCAGTCAGTTTCAGAATACCAAAGATCATGGAATTCTGGAACCTGGTTCAGAATTTTGAAAGAATGTTAGTAAATCTTCCTTCCTCCCTCCCTCTCTCCCTCCCTTTGAAATTGTTCTAACCATGGCTGCAGAATGTTGAAATGTAAAGATTTGAGCCCTGGATACCCTGCCTACTGTTGTTGTTGTTATCTCAGCTTGTTCACCACTGAATCCAGCAGGACTCCTGGTGGTTAATCGTACAATAAAACTTCTATAGTAAGAATTAAATAAACTTACACAGAACATCTCTGGTGTGATAAGAATAAAACATCCACCATAGAATAATCATGTCAAATGAAGTAATAGTCAGTCACCAACTAAACATATCCCAACATCCTATCAGCTCAGAAATATTTTGTAGAAGAGCTAGTTTTGATCATCATTTTTAATGTAAATCAAAAAAGAACACTCAAATCAAATTATTCAGTTTTTGTAATGAATTTTCATTTATAGAGTTATTTTGGGGGTTAATATCTAGCCCAAGTAGTCTTTGGTTCATATTAAGTATACCACACTTCACCCATAGCTTTAATATGGATGAAGAAGAAATGTTGGTCTGTATTTGCTTCTCAGTTGCAGTCACTGGCAATGTTATATTTTCACTGGCAATGTTATGTTTTCTTTCTCATACTCACCAAAATATGCAGGATTTAGGAATAAATTCTGCAGATTATTTTAAAAGTGTTTCATAATGCCTATCACTTCTCTTCCCCAATATCCATTCTTTTTTTTTTAAAAAAAAGTCTTATCTTCCAGGTTCTACCAGATGGTCAATATAAGAAACAAGGATCTGAGAAGATCAACTATTTGACTATGATTGTGATACGTGTGACCATGATTCAGACTGAAATTGTCCCCAATTTGATGAAGGCTTGTACCATTGCTATCCGATATTCCGTGGTGCGTCGGCAATCTGAGTTAAAGCCTGGGTACGATATGAAAAGAGGGAAATGCTCCTGTCTGGATGCTTAATTTCCCATACACACACACACACACACACACACACATACTGTTGTTCTCCTTTTACAATATTGTTTTTGATTTTGGGCAGGGATAGGCAACTGGTGGCATGCTGTATGTTGCTGGACTACAATTTTCAGCACCTATTCTGAACTCTAATGCCTAGCTGTTATACTCCTGCTCAAGCATGGGAAAATAATTTTAGAGATCTTTGGGAGGGATCCAGATGACCCACAATTATTTCTGATTTTCCCATGGATGCCATAATCACGACTTCCCAACTTGGATCCATGTCACTACAAAAGAAATGCTTTCCACAATACATTAGTATAAATCCAGGAAGTCACCTGGCATTGATTATAACTTAGTTGAGTTTATCAAATTCATTGGTGGGTTCCATTATTAGCTGCCCTGTGTACCCAGTAAATAATTTTGATATGATTCTTTCTGATTGGAACAAAGCAATCCTTCTTATTTTTAAACAGATCAAGGTCAATGACCTAGGAAACTATACATTTGCTGTCAATCATGGGAGTAACAGCTTCAATTCCTTCAGAAATTGGAGATGTACTCACTGATTCTTAAACAGCATTTGGAGAAAACTGCTCAATCTTAAACCATTGTTTGACAGTCCTCCAACTCATTAAAAAAAAATACTAAGAAGCCTTAAAGGGTGAGCTTTTGCAGCCTTCATGGATCTGAATGCAACATTTGATTCTATTCTATGGATCTGAATGCAACATTTGATGTTATGGTAGAAATTGGAGACTGTATTGATAAAAGGCTGCTTTAGCTTATTAAGGCTTATATACAGTAGCAGTGCCCTGTTTTAGTTCAGATTTGGCCATGCAGGACACCTGTTTGCTATCTCCGTGTCTAGAGGAGTTAGGTAAAAATGTGTTTTCCTAGCTCTTACTTTGTTCAATTTATAGTTTTGAATTATCTGAAAAGTATCTTAAATGAACCTAATGTATATTTGCCGAAACCTGATAAGAAAAACTATGTTTAGATGTATGCAGATGTTCTCTTGTTCTAGACCTGGGATTAAGTATTTACTACTTAAATGTTCCTCTTATTGCAACAGCAATTCCTTATGGTTCAGTTATGGCAGATAAAGAATTTGGTCCTTAAGAAGAAGTTTACTCCACAAATGCTGTTACTAGATGATCAAATATTGGAAGAATTAAAATGGATATTATCAAAATTGGGCAGTAGCTGGTTCATGAGAAGATAAGGGGTGGGCAAGCCAAGCCAGAGAGATGAGGCTGGCAGGACCCAAGTCCTCAGAGTTGGGAGAGGGGTTGCCGCTCCTCCTGCTTGACTCATCAAGGAGTAGAAGGGAACATCTGGCTTCACAGCCTCTGGCATTTCTGGGTTACCACTGTCTGGTGCTTTGGCAGGTTGTACAACTGCCCTTTCACCCATTGACATGTGCTGCCTGCTATGTCCCACTGGAGGCTGAGTGCAGAGGTGGGAAGCCTGAGTCTTGATTCAGCCAGGACCAACTTGTTGACTGTAAAAGGCACTAGATTACTTCCTTCCTCCATGGTACTTAGGAAAAATATGACAACTGTGCATGAACTGGACTGAAGCTTTGGGTGCACTGCAGTACATCCATGGAACATCACTGGCATGTGAGCTGCTCTGGCTCCCAGTGGGCTTTCAGGTACAGTTCAAGGTGCTGGTTGTCACTTTTAAAGCCCTACATGGCGTAGGGCCAGATTACTTTTGGGATCACCAGAGGTTTCTGCCCACCTTGCTAGGACTGGTAGACTAGGCATGCTCCAGGTACCATCAATAAACAGTGTCATCTGGAAGGTCCCTGGAAGCATGCCCTCTCTGTTAGGGTGACTGCCATATGAAATGGCCTCCCCTGAAATATGGACAGCCCCTACTCTATTGGCCTGTAATGGTTTGTAGGAATAACCTTGGGAGATAGGGAGAAGAGATACAGCCAAGGGAACGGTCAGATAAAAGGCAACTTAGCCCGAAGAAGGAATGTGGACGGGGCACGCAGCTCAGAAGGGACCCTCCCTAGTTTCTTGAGCTGTAAAGGGGACAAGGGGAGAAATGTACTTTCAGATTTGCAAGATTCTGTTAATGTAACCTTACAATAAAGTAGAATTAGCTCATCTGGCCATGCTTCCTGTTTGGTCTACCTCTCAAGGCTGACATGGCCTTTCACAAAGCTATTGAAGGCATTGGGGTCAGGATGTTCAATGCTACTGAAAGCATAAGGGCTCTGGCATGGGAGTATGTGATTAGTGGTTTTGTGGTTTCACCAAGCCTAAATACAGTTGTGTGTCGGGGGGGGGGGCTAATAGAATTCTTTGTATTTATCTTGCTCACCGCCCAGAGATTCCTGGATAGATGGGCAGCCATATAAATTGGATTAATAAATAAACAATTTAACTAAATAATCCTCTAGGTTAAAAGTTTCCTTTTGTGGTCTTTGCATATAAAGTTGTGCTTCCAAGAAACCTTCAGTTATTCAAACTGCTGTTCTTCATTTGGGTTTTTGCTTTTTATACTCAAGAGTGCTAGCATGCTTCCACTGCAATTAAATCTTTGGCATTAAAGTAACCTCTCAACATCTTTATTGAAGTACTGTTTGGATTAAGGGAATGACTTCTTATCCAACTGTCATACAAGTTAACTTCTTACTTACCATTTTATATGCCTCAAATATTAATCAAATGTATAACTCACTGAAGCAACCAAGGATTTGAATCAGTTATGTGTGGCTTGTCCTGAAGCTGTGGCTGGGAGTATATATCTTTAGGACACCCTTAGAGTTCTTGTCATCTCTTTCTTCAGATGGTCACAATTGTTCCTTGGTGACACCAAAGGCCCCAAAAGCTCATGGTATTGTTCTGTTCTGCTTTCTCAATCAGGAGGGTATATTTCAGAATTTGCGCCAATAAAGAAAGGACTTTGGGATATTCCCTTCAGAATGACTGTTCATGCTTAATCATATTGTTCAAGACACTCTGGCATTTTCAGCCTATCTGAGTAGCTTTCTTGTAATTACCTATCTCACTACCTTGTCTGAGACAAGACAGAAGATACTCCCCTGACAAGTTCTGGAGGAAAGATAAGCTGGACATTCCCTGCCTTTGAGGTCTTGTCCTTGTAATGAACAGCAAGTTGAGTCTATAGAACATGTTCTTCTGGTCTGCAGTGTTTCTGCTGGAGCCTGCCAGAAATTGATTACGGCTATATAAATTACATTGCCAGGCAGCTTCCCTCAGTTTTATTTAAAATATTTGTTGGAAGATAACATTTCAAAGGTGATTCTTTCAATGGCTAATATTCTGTCAGTAGCTGTTACAATAAGGAAGCAACACTGATGGAGTTACTGTCCCATAGGATGGAGTAATTTGGGATCACTATACAACTGGTTTATTTATTTATTATTTATTTATTTATTTATTGGATTTCTCCCCCGCCCATCTCCTCCACAATAGGGGACTTTGGGCGGTTCTTGTGGCTATATCTTCTGTTGTTCTTACTTTTTGTATATTAGCTTAGCTCTGATGTTCTAGTGACTGTAATCACACTTTATTACTTTAACTTAAAACAGTCCAGCTATTACAGCTAGTGGTGAGCAATGCTTGGAGTCAGAGTTTAGCAACATTCAGGTTACCATCAATGGAACCTATCCATTATGCCTTAATGTCATGTCCAAATCAATATGACATTCAGGAGTCACATATTAAAACTCCTGGTTTAGCATGCAGGCATTGCCATTAATTGTTTTACATCTCCTCCCTTTATCCATTAAGCTTTAAATTGAGTAGGAAGCCAACATGGGTTCTTTTTGAGGAATCACCAAAGGTTAATCATGGACCATTTAGTGATAGAAACAGGAAACCACCTTAGCTCATACTGTATGATACTGGGGGACAAGAGGTGGCAAGGTGTGTTGGATCATCAACTTGTATCACCCACGGCCAGCATGTCTCATGCTAGTCTGCTGTCCTCAGGTGAAATGAAGAAGTGCAACTTCACTGTAACTAAAGTAAAATACAGTACAGTGCTCAATCCTACCATCTTCTTATTGTGACAAGGAGGGGCAGGAAGAGCAGCTCCTTCTGGAAGCTGAATTTATCTGTTTGCACTGGCTTTGCTAATGGAAACAGAAGTGTAACCAAATGAAAGCGGAACTATGGTAGAAAGCTCCTTCTGTCATCAGGGTAGTTTGAAGTTATGTGGGCATAGTTGCCATTCATCTTGGTTAACCAGCAGTGTTTCCTTTCCTCAGTGATCCAGAGGCTAAGATTTTGGACTATCAGACTCAGCAGCAGAAGCTTTTTCCTCAGCTGGCCGCTGTCTATGCCTTTCACTTTCTTTGCGACTATCTGCAGGACATTTTCAACAGATGCTACAATCACACCAAAGAAGGAAAATTTGACTTGCTTCCAGAGGTAATGTGAAAGAGAAATATACATCTTTTCATGTGTTTAGAAAACCTTTGGCCCATTTCATCTGTCGGCAAAAATATCCCTCACATATCTACTCAGAAAAAAATCTCATGGTCTTCAGTAAAAATTACTCCCAAGTTAGTTGCTGTTGGATTGGAGTGTGAGCTCTGTACTATGTCTTGAGAATCTCCCAAAATAAGGAATATTTGAGATAATGGGCAGTGGCCAGTTCCTCATACAGACGTTAGATAGACTGGCCACTAAAATTTCTTCTACCATGCGGGTGATAGGACAGCATCTTCTGCTGTTCTTGAGGGTAGTTGCTATGTGACACATACCAAGTATTCTTTTAAAAGGTGATTTTGTAGTAGTAATTGCTAAAATAGTTTGAAAGTAACCCAAAAGTATGAACAAAGTGTTAGTTCCTCTTGGCTTGCAACTTTTCCTCTTCCAAGAACTTTTTTTTTAAATCAGAATTTGCATCCATTGTGTACGTAAGTTCCTTAATATCGTGTGGATTAAGAATTTGCTACTGAAATATGAATTGCCTACTGCATGACAATTGTTCGCAGGATGACACAAAAAATAGTGCAGCTGTTCGGCATCTGCAGTACAACTTGTAATATTTTCTTCCACAACTGATGAATGGAAGGGGAACTGGAGTTGATTTCAGCATGCAGTTAAGACTTTGGCACTCTAGTTTCAAAATACTGGAGTAACTAAAGCTGCATGTTAGCATTTAATCTGAGTTACTTCCGTTTTGGGGGGTTCCCAAAAGAGAGCTGTGTGAGATGGGAGTAGTGATACACGTGCCTGGAATCAGCATTTGCATATTCTTCCCTTTAAAAACATTTTATGGTTGGGGACATTGGCTGGGCATCGCTAAAGCTACTCCTTTACACATTGTTGCTTGGTCCCAAATAAATATGCTTTGTGTCAGGGCAACAGAAGTAAGCCCCATCTAAATGCTTTACTCATACTGTATGTGCCTATAAAATAGAAAATCTCAAATACTCCAAACAGTTAAGCAGGCACTGTACCCAGACAGTAGCAATTCCTGTGTTAAAGAATAGATTCAAGATTTCTTGAAGAAGAAATCTTCAAAGAATATTTTCTTTAAATTTCTTTAAATATTTGAATATTTAAGAACATTTCTTAAAGAATAGATTCTCAATTTCAGAGATGTCATTATATCCTAAAAATGAGAAGATGGAGCAGTATGTTTCTATATGGTCTAGATTTAACAACTTTAAGGATTTACTTAATTTTATATTATTATTATATGGATCCTTTTTCCTTTGTCGGTTTCTTTTTTCATCCTTATATTTCTTTTATCACTGAAAGTCTAGACCAGTGTTTCTCAAACTTGGCAGCTTTAAGATGTGGTGGCTGGCTGGGAAATTCTGGGAGCTGAAGTCCACACATCTTAAAGTTGCCAAGTTTGAGAAGCACTGGTCTAGACTTTTTAATTGAAATATCAATGATGGGGCTTTTTTTATTACTATTGTTTGCTGTACTTCACTAATAAAATGAATAAAAAAGCAGTCCAAAGGGATGCAGTTTCAGGAGGAATGTGATTGGAGCTTCCTCCTTGTTTGAAACAGAAGACTTTGGTTCTATGGACAGTTGTGGTTTCAAGAGATTTGTGCATTGGCTTGTTTTGCAACCACAAAACACAGGTTTCGGACACAGTCCAAATAATGTTAAGAGCTTTTAAATCTGTTGTCCAGTATGGATGCTGTTATTAATAGCAGTAGTGCTTTTTTTTAAATAGATGCAATATTGATTTAAGCAGGCAGAGTGTTTTAAGGGGGTGCTTAACTTTCTCCAGTATGAATCAGTGGGACTTGATCCAACCAATGGTAAGCATTTAATTGCCTAGATTTGGGGTAATAGAGTCTTTCCAACCTGATGTCCTTCAAATGTGTGGGCCATTCCGGTTGGAAGTTCTGACTTGCAATGCCAAGACTTTTGAAGAGCATCAGGCTAGATAAGACGGGCATGAAGAAGTTTTAGTTACTTGTTCCCTACCCCAAATTCCTGGGCTATCATAACATATGACCTGTGAATATAAAGTAGGAACAGATCTAAATCCTCATAAATGTACATTTCTGACTCAGAAAAGGTTTGCCAAATTGAGGCTACTGTAAGCTGTCTCGCAGGTTGCTTATTTGTTTGTTTTTCATATTCTCTACAGAACTATTGGAGTGATATGTATGTATCTATTTATATACACATACATACACATACATGCACACACACACACACACAAACATACACACGCATGCATGCATGCCTTTAAGTCAGTGTTGACTCCTAGCAACTGCCTGGACAAGTCTCTGCAGTTTTCTTGGCAAGGTTTCGGAAGTGGTTTGCCCTTGCCTGCTTCCCGGGGCTGAGAGAGATAAATTGGCCCAAGGTCACCCAGCTGGCTTTGTGCCTCAGGTGGGATTAGAACTCCCGTCCCCTGGTTTCTAGCCTGGTGCCTTCACCGCTACGCTCAACTGGCTCTACCTTACCATCTAAATTTCTGCCACATTCACAGGTTCATGCGCTGGCAGCAGGCATAAAAGTGATCACCACTGAGTATTGCTCAGCTGGAGTGGAGGTGTGTCGGAGGGCTTGCGGGGGACATGGCTACTCTCTCCTCAGCGGCCTGCCTTCCATTTATGAGAGACTGGTCGCGTCTTGTACTTATGAGGGAGAAAATACTGTTCTCCTCCTGCAAACAGCCAGGTAACTTCAGTGAAAAATGTTATCTTTCATCTCTGGAGCCTTGCTAGAACCATTTAGAGATTTCAGAAACTTTTCCAGAGTAACTTCTACAAGCACTTCTGCAGATTTTTTTTTTTTTAATGAGTAGACTCTGGCAGCCAAATTTCATTTTCCAGCACTTTCATATTATGAAAGGGATTCCAAAATGATGCAGAGAAAACTTACACATTTGCAGGCCTGCGTTGCATTCTTACATCTACTGTATGTGCATAGTCTGTTATTTAAAGCAGGGGAACCTTTGGTGTTGATTGGCTGCAGAGATATTATGGAACAGAATGTCCAAGAACATATCAACTTCTTAGGGGACAAAGCTGTAAGAATACTTGAATTACAGCTTTTGTGAGGAAGAGAAAAACTCATTTTTGCTGAAATGAGTGTCTCTCCTAGGTTCCAGAAAGGAACAGAAATACTTTTTTTTTTCTTGTTGTTGTGGTTACTGTTAAAGGACAGGGCTGAAATAAGGAGTTAAGGAAAGATAGTGGTATAGCACGCATGAGGAGACAGGGAAAATAATGAAAGCACAGATTACCTAGTGTATATAGTAAAAAAGGTATTTTCTGTACTCTGATGTCCAAAAATTATCCTTTTTGCATTCCTATTTTTTATGTCTGAAAATAATTATCATCATTCAGATGCTCTTGTCTGAGAATGTCTCTTGGTTTTCATTTTTCTTCTTTACCTTTAGATTTCTTATAAAATGTTATGGAATGGCACAAATGGGCCAGCCTGTTCCTTCATCAGTTGCCTACTTTTCTTCCATAAGTTTTGGAAAATGCCAAGCCCAGGAAAAAAAGGATTTCCTAAATCCTGATATTTACATAGATGCCTATAAGCACCGTGCCTTCAGGTTGGTACAAGGAGACTGGGGCAGAGTTTGGTATATATTATGCCAGTCCAAAGGTTGGATGGTAAAAGATCAGAGAGTATTAAAGATGAGCCAGGAGACTTCTGCCTAAGGTTGTAAGTCTTAGTGTAAGCTGCTTCCCAGAGTTCCTGTGTTCTTCAGTTGATTCCCCTAATTCCCAGGATTAAACCAATTAGCCATATGAATATAACAATAGCTTGAGAAAATCTATCTGTGTTATCACTAAGAGTTGACCCCAAGTAATGGCACATAATCAGTCAAGAATCCAACACTTACTGCATTGACCCAAGGAAGATGATCTTTCATCTTCAAAGAAAGAATAGACAGGAAAGCAATTACAAAACCAGAAATCCTGTGTAAGGTTGTTTCATACTTTGTCCACTTAAGATTGCCAACTGCAGATCAAACCATCCTGGAGATATTCTCTCTGTCCAAAAAGTATGTGCATGCTTCTCCAGAAGCCACTGTCCCATTAAAGTCAAATATGTTAACTACACAGTCATGCATGTAGTTTCCTCTCTCTTTCTAACAGAAGATCAAAAAGAAAAAAATACAGATGGGATGAGGGACAGGGGTGGTACACTGGGGAGAGAGGAGTGGATGGAAGGCAAAGGAAAGAGATCATTGGGCAGGGTGAGAGAGAGAATGAGAGAGAGGGAGAGAGAGAGAGAGGGAGGCCCATGTAAGTTTTAGCAAACAGATTCCATGCAGGTGTGTTTTCCCAGCCAAGTAAACAGGGCATTTTCAAACTAAGTTCAAAGGCTCCAGATTTCTCAGCAGGACTGTTTACAGTCACTTACATCTCCTGCCCATTATTTTGTTTCTAGCAGCCTCTATTTTCAATAAGATGCCCCCCTTTCATTTATAAGTCATTGGTTGGGAGAGGGAACTCATGGTTCTATTGTACTTACTTTCTGGAACGGCCACTGGATAAAACATTTTGAGATTTTTGATCCCATGATTTTCTATTTAAGACTGTTGACAAAACACCTCAATTGATCGATTTTACCCACAGGAGCTTCTATCTCTCAACTGATTAACCCTTGAACTGAATACTCGCATAATCAGCTGAAACAGAGCTTTACACAGATGGCACAGAAAAACAACCCTTATTGAAATGTAACCATTTTATAAACATCATCTAGAATCTGAAATTTCCATGTATCATGATTCACATAAAGTTGTATCACGGTCTTTGGTTGGTGTATTGAATTGTTTTTGATCTGCAGTGAGAGTTACTTTAAATCAGTGTTCAGAAGCGACGCCTTTCATTTGCAATTGTACATTCCAGAAGTCCATCCTCCCATTTCACGGCATGTGTAGATCAGCCCCCTTCTTCTGCCATTAAGAGTATTTTAGAAATGAGGAAATCAGTCATAAATATTTGTTGAACATTTTGACTTTTTAATATTTATTTGTATTCCTCCCTCCTCAGGATTATAGAAAATGTAGCGATCAAGCTTCAGCAGTTGGTTCAGTCAGGAAAAGCACAACATGAGGCCTGGAACCAGTGCACTGTACAACTGGCAAGAGCTGCGATGGTTAGTAATTGCTTTGTGCTTTTCCCCAACTAGTTCTTTTGCCAGGGACTCTGAGAATCCGCCAACTAAATTATGCTCAGGCAATGAAGCCAAGGAAAAAGAGGTCCTCTTTTGCATTCACCCAGATCACAATTAGCAAAGTCATCTTTCATGTAGGAAGAATGGTAGGGAAAGATGGCATTGACTTTTTAAGCTTTTTCAAGATATGCCAGTTTCCTCCAATCTGTCATGTCTTCTCTCCATTTTAAAAAGTCCTTTTTGAAATAGTTTTTGACCTAAAATATGTAATCCAAAATTAAATATTTACTAGTTGAGTCAAGGTCTGTGGCAGCTAGTAGGCTTTGATCTGGCCAACTGACTGTTGGTGAATGTGGAGAAGGAGGTTCTGGCCAACTGATTGTGAATACAGGCAGGCAAGTGGTACAAGGTGAATGAGCCCTAGCTGATGAACATAGGAAGGCTGCTGTGGTTTAGCAATGATCCATGGGCCACATTTTGAGAATTGCTGACTTATAGCATTTGCTTCAGTTCTACTCTTCATCCTATCACCAGCATTCCCATACAAATTTCTTTAAATACTCCTAGCATTCCCTAATTTCAGTTTCATCCCAGATAATTTCATTGCTTTTATTTCTAATTCCATGCACTCCATTGGAAGCTTCTTGTTTAGCCCTTTGCACATACTTCCAAAACAGTTTTTTATTTCCCATAAACATTCCTTTACATTTTCTCCCTTTTAATCTTCACCATTTCTTGTCCCTTTTAACTACATTCTTTGCAACTCTCCTTTTCCCTATATACATGTATACACATCTTTCTTTTGTCCTCATTTTTTGCAGCAATTATTCTGTTAATCATGTTTTTCCTCATTCACAGCCTCTTCAATGCCATCATTCAACTCAGCATCCCTTTTCATACTTTCCACTGGGGCATAACTCCACACACTTCTGTAATATGATTCTTTTTACTCTGTTCCAAGCAGCTTCTGCATCCTATATCCTTGCATTTACTTTCCATTCATTCTGTTGGGAGATTAATGCATCTTCTAATATATTTTCATAGAGGTCTTGTCATTTTGCTTTCACTCTAGTTTCTTTACTTCCTTTGCTTCCCTATCCATTTTTCCCTAAAACGCTATCTTGATACTTCTAAAAATAATCTTTTGTTTCCTTCACAAATTCTGTCTGTTGTCATAAACAGTCAAATCAATCACGCTTTTCAATCTATTCCTTTTTCATATTTACACATGAATAGACTTAAGCTGAAACTTCTGTCAGCTTTCTGTTGATAGGTTCGACTAGAAATTAGTGCATTCAGACTTTCAACAACGTAAGCTGCAGTAAATAGATTTATTGCAGAAAAGCTAATGAAACCATTTTTTTAAAAAGTAGCCCATCATTTGCTATGTATGAAATGCAGGTCCTGCTGATAGTGAAATCAAGGTTCAAATTCTTGCACTCTATTCCTGCCTGTGCCATGTAACAGGACTGAAGCCACTCTCTTTTGGTTGGAAGGGAGAGTTTCCAACAGTCTCATGTTTTAGTAAAATGGACTCGTCTGGTTTCAGTAAAATGGACTAGTCTGGTTTCAGTCTGCCTGCTTGTAACTTTCTAAGGACTAACTCCCATACCTCCAGAACTTTACATTTAGGTTTTTAGTATCTCTTATTTTAGAACTCTGAACTATCTTGTAATTTTTTCCTTGCTTTTATCTGTTCTCCACTTATTTTAGCCCAAATGCTCTCAACAGTAGTGCCGAGTTCATTCACTTGGATTTTTGATCAAGAGTGGATACTTAATTCTCCTTTCCTTTCTGTATTTTTAGTGTCCTTCAACTCTTATATACCAATTCAGTTATGGGCTACAACTTATCAGGTCTCTGTTATACCTATTACATTATATTTACCTTCCTGTTCAAGTCAAATTGTTTATTTTTGATACTCCAATTTCCATTCCATTGTTTATTTTTTCCCTTTTTGTTTCTGCACGTTATGATGTAAGTCCACATTTTTCTTTTCTCTGTTCCCTGTAGAAGAACTGGGATCTGAAAATCTAGAATGGAATGCTATTTTAGGGTACAGAAATTTATACATACATGTATTATTAGAAGCCAGGTCTCATGGTTCTCATTGTCACAAGGTGTTTTGGGTAGGAACTGCATTTTTCAGTAAGTTTATTCCATTTGTTTCATTTGTATTTGTATGGGACTAAGGGTTTGTTGTGCTATATGAAGGCATTATGCTCTGGGCTCTCAAAGTATTGCCTTTGCATGCCATTATGCCCAGATACTTCCCTCAGTGCCCAGCATCCTTCCATATTGATCCCAGAAGCATTCTTAAAAATAACAAGGTATTTGACCCAATTTTGTTCAGTTTTTGAAGAATCATCCTGCTGATGGACAGACATACAGAATCCCAAGCACCTTCACATAATTTTCCAACATTCAATTAGGTTGGAAAAAATAAAAAATAAAAAACATTAATGGCTATAGGACAATGCTTTGTTTGCACATTTGCATCAGTATGATGTCAGGCACTAGAAAACACAGATGAGATCATTGTCAAGTTCTTTGAGGGATTGGAACAACGGAGTCCCAGCTTACAGTAAGCAGCTATTGGAGCCAGATGTTTCTTGCATGGTCCACCAATCACCCCTTTCTTAGGTTCTCTGTTGACTTTTCCTTTTTCTAGTGATCTTCTAGTGATCAGGCCATGCATTTGGGTCTGTTTTATTTTTTCAGAATGTGTCTGAGGAGTTAGGTGAACTTAAATTCAAAATGATTAACAAGAGTTATTGTTAGAAGCATGGTATTGCTCAGAATTAATGTAACCCTACCAATAAAAAAAATTGGGATTTGCCTAGAGACACCCACCCCCAACCTCAAATTAATGAAATACAGAGTAAGAGAGCACCAATTTGGAGAAACATGCCTTTCAGATGTAGCTCCCAGACATGTGAAAATCTTCCCAGACAAACCTTCTGATCCCAGTTCCTGAGATCACTATGAGTAGTTATTTCAGATGTTGAAATAGGAACCCTACTGTATAGAACTTCCACAATGGATTTCTTTCTCACCATTTGTCTCTGACATACAAACTTTGAATATATGTGAAAGTTTATGGTATAAAGAAGATCTGGGATATGACTCTGTCTGCTAACTTTTTCAGGTTCATAGCCATTACATTGTGGTACAAAAATTTGCTGAAGCCCTGGAGAAATTTGCAAAAGAATCTGCCATCCAGAGGGTCCTTAAAAATCTCTGTGACCTGTTTGCACTACATGGGATTTTCTCTAATGCAGGAGACTTTATGCAGGATGAGTATTTTTCTACAGACCAAATTGACAGGGTGACTGAAACATACCTGGACCTCTTGGCAGTCATTCGGTGAGATGACTTTCTTTTCCTCTCAAAGACTTAATGCCTTTGACTCCATATTTGTGTTGTACTGTTGCAAATCTAGCAAATTGCCTAACCTTTGGACGAACAAAAAGGGAGGCCTGCGCATTTCAGAGATCCTGCGAGAAGCACTGATCTCTCTTCTGTATTCCCATAAACCTACTCTGCATCTCCTTCTCTATAAAGATTAACCACATCACGTGCTACCGCCTGGTAATAGTGACATTTCTGTGGGCACCGTATTTCCTTCTGTGAGAGTGAATATGGGAAGGGAATTAAAGTTTTTACTTACAATGTCTGGGCAAAAGCCCATTTTGCCCAAGAAATGTCTATACCACACTCATTGAGGAGCACACTAGACTCTCTTCTCCCCTAGCAGTGGTTTTGCAAGGCAAGGAACTATTAGGTCAGCCTCTTGCCATCATGCCCAGAGATAACAGCTTTGACTGGCAGCAGCTCTCAAAATCCAGTTTGTTTGTGTTTTTTTGGTTATTTGGGTATATTTTTATATCTCAACATTTAGAAACAGGTTGTCTCTCCAGGGATTTCTGTCCCAATGGTGGTCCGTCTTTTCCTTGCCCGTGTGTTACATCTTTCACCACTGCTTGATTTTTTAAATTTTGTTTATACAGATGCTCATCAATTGCTGCTGCTTCTGAACTATGTTTGGTCCTTACGTTTCTAACCTGATTTCACTCAACTTTGATGTCTGTATTAAACTTCCGTCAGATTGCTTGGTTGTACTTTGAGTACTTTATGGAGCAGAACTTAGAACGGATAAATTGTGACTCTCAAAATGTTTCTTTGCTCCTTCAGGAGAGATGCTGTGCCATTAGTGGACGCCTTTGACTTTTCTGATGCGTGTTTAAATTCAGCCCTGGGAAGCTATGATGGCCATGTCTATCGGAGGCTTTATGAGTGGGCCAAGAAGTCACCAACTAATCACCAGGTGAGAAGAATGAAGGCCAAAATGAATAGAAAACCAGGTCTGCATTAAAAGGCAATAGTTGCTTTTCAGTGTCAGACCAAAACAAAATCTACTTTGCAAGCTGAACATGTATTATGAAAAATAGATCACTTGTGTGACTTCCCATAACCTGGTTAATCTTATATAAATATATACAAACCTGGGCATGATAAATAGGATGGAACTAGCTGTAACCAAACTAGCGTTTAGTGTTAATACAAATCAAAACATACAGAAAAGGTAAGTTCGAAATTATTTGGGATATGCTTTGGAAGGAGAAAAAAGGGGATTTGCGAGCTGATTTGAAGGAGACAAAAATTATTAAATGGCCAAAGAAAAAGGCAGTCCTTCGTACAGCAAGAGAGGTAGGATATCAGCAAAAAATACAGATTATCTGGTACAAAGAGAGATGGAAAATTGAAGCAGTAATCTTGAATAACTTTAAATTCTGGATTTAATGGTCTAATGAGATTTGAAACAGGCATGTATATTGCTTCTAGACTTCAAGCCTGGTGTGGAGACCATCCCAGTTAATGTGGCTAAACAGGACCCTGTACTCCTTTCTGAAGTCCTTTCATGATAGGTTGGACAAGAAGATGCATTAAAATGTAAAACTATGTATATGCTTTGCAAACATGGGAACAGGCAATAGCCAGTTTGGCTGGATTCACACACCACACTAAACGTGGATTAAGAAAACATGGTACCTAGTCACTTTTGACTGACTCTGAAAAGTTCAGTAGGTTTAGACCTGGTTAGTACTGGATGGGAGGGCTCAAGGGAAAAGCAGGCTGGTGGTTAGTCTGAGAAGGTGTGTGGGGGGGTAGTTTTTCTGACCTGTTTTCTCTCTGTGAGAGGGAAAAGAGAATGAATTAGTGCTCAAATTTACAGTTGGGCTGGATGGAGGAACATATCAACATATTTTAAGTAGCTCTGAAGGCATCACAAAAATCAATGGAACATAAAATGGGACAGATTTTTGCATTTCATTAAGCTCTTCTTTTCCATCTCCCAAATAATCTGAGCACTAAGAATAAATCGGGACAAGAAAATATCTGTACATCTGCTTAATTGGCATTCTGTCCACCATTGCTTGAATGTTGACTGGTGGTCTCCAGGGTTTTAAGTTGCACAGAAAAATACATTTGCTCTGCTTATTGATAAAATGTTGGTGCTTCCATTCCTATGTTATGTGCTTCTGTTCCAGTATAGAGTCTTTGGCTGGCATGATTAAAATGATAGAAAGGGAAGGTTCTTGAGGGCAAACGAGCAAGTAGTCTGAGTTTCCTATTCAAATAACCTGATGAGCACAGCTTTCCGCCAGCAGCTGCAGAAAGAGCAGAAAAGAAAGATCTATGCAGTATCATAAGTCAAAGACAGAAACTTGGTGTAGCAAAACCCTGCAACAGGAGGCAGGACCTATATTGCCACACTAATAGATTTCCCTCCATCCTTGTCAGTTCTGACCAACAGATGCAATGTGTGACAATATAGAGTTATCATTCTAAAGGTTGATCATTAAGTGATGTGCATAAGTTCTGGAAATGTTGCATACAACCTATGCTTGCTACAATGCACCCCCCTTTTTTGTCCATTTTCAGTACCTTTTCAGATGTTTGATGGGGAATCTTTCACCCAAGCCCTAACTCCCCTTTTGTAGAGGGAACAGAGAATGGCCTTGAAGGACAAGAGGAAAAGCCGCTGCCAAGGCAATGGCCAGATGAGTGGGGCTTGAGCCCATTCCAAGAAACTAACTTGAGAAAGCATCTCAGACAAGCCCCTCCCTAGTTCACACAAAGATAAAGTGAGGGAAGGGAGAAGTACATTCAGACTTGCATGATTCTGTTACTTGTAGCTGTTACAGTAAAAGTAATCCTGACCTTTATGGCATTGGTTTCTTAGTGTATAAGGGCTGAGAGTTGCAGACCACTATTTTGAGTGGGTAAGAGCCTAGGAGCTCTAACTTCACTACATTTAGTTTAACACAGTGAAAACTTAAAATTGGACAGGCAATTGTGAGGCTGTAATGAGAAAGTCAAGCTAAGGTGTTCTGCTCTGTCTTTGCCACCAACATCCATGGACTGTCCATATGCCTAAAGCTTTCCCCTTCCCTTCCCCTTTTGCTTTCCAACAGGACAATCGGGTCTTCAAGACATACTTAAAGCCACTTTTCCAGAATGCTCTCTCCAAGCTATGAAGAGGGGACTGGCACCGAGCAACTCCTTTCCTAACTGCCCTCCAAGCCACACTGTCAAGTTTTCCATAATAAGCCCATATAATGTAATTGCAGGCTGCTTTTAAGCCTTACCCATCAGACCTGAGTTCTCCTTTTGAATTGTCCTGTCATACAAAAGGCAGGCAGTTGATTCCCAAAGAGCATGTGGTGGTGGTATGATCACACAATCACAAGAGGGTATGATAGTGATCCTGTGCTCATTTTCCATTCACAGCAGATTTGACATACACACAATTGAATGAAATCCACCGTTAGAACCAGGAAAAAAGTCATATTTTCATAGGAATCCCCCAACAGAACTTTCTCTGTCCTGATGCCTTCTAAATATACTAGACTGCAACTATCCACAGGAAAGTTGTAGTCCAAGGCATCTGGCAGGCAGTAGGTTGGGAAAGGGTGCCCTAGAGCAGTGATGATGGGGGGCTAACAGGAAGGGAAGTTGGTGGGAGGGGGTGCTTTTGAGTCAGTGCTGACGTCTGGCAACTGCCTGGACTAATCCCTACAGTTGTAGGACTGAGAAAGAGGTACTGGCCCAAGGTCACCCAGCTGGCTTTGTGCCTAAGGCAGGACTAGAACTCACAGTCTCTGTAATCTAGCCTGGTGCCTTAGCCACTACACCAAACTGGCTCTCGAGTTTTTTAGGGCTTACTTAATTTTTTAAAAAGTTCTTAGTAAAACTAGTCACACACCAAATCAATTTCTCAAAAGGACCCTGAAAGAGCACCACTCAGGGGCAGTGGGAAAATGTCCTTACTGGTAGAGTCCACACTGACCTCAAATCTGATTTTGCTGCACTTAATAATTGCATTCTCAGAACTGAACACTTCACCACTTCTGAAACCTCAAAACTTGGTGGTGCTTTTTCCGATTGCTCATATTGCAACGGTTGCCATTTTATCTTACGGCTATTAACGCTGGATTCACATCTGCATTCAACCTGAGTCTCGTCTCAACTGAGTCTTGGACGGTTGCTATTCCTCCATCTTATACAAATAAAATAAAGTGGTGAAAAAAATCACCCTGAGGTTAAAAGGAATATATTTAAATATAATAAATGCTGCCACCTTGCAGAGGAAACCCTGAAACATAAAACATGCACCATGAGAGTTGGATAAAAAAGGAACAAGTACAGCTGGATGTGTTATAGACATTATTTACAACCTTCTGTGTGGTGAGCTAAGTAAATTTAAATTGGAATATGGGATTTCTTTGCTTCTGCTTTGCAGCTACATTGTATTTGTCTCAAAGTCATTGTCATACAATCCCATTTATGAAGGAGCTTTTCAAGGAAGAAAAAAAACAGTCAATATGCTGTTAGTTACATTTGTTATATGGCTTCTTAATTAAGAATGAAATGACTGACAGCTGTTATATTTAAAAAGCTGTCTTCAAGATGCCCTGTTTGAAGTTGGAAACAATTGTTCAGATCTTTCTGGAAAGTTTCCAATATTGTTCTGGAAGGGTTATGAGTTCTAAATCGAGCATTGAACACTTTGGAACATCCAGAGCATTTCCAATAGCATCAGAATAACCCATTTCAAGCATGAAATATTTTGAATATGAAACATTCCTCTTCTGGATAGAATCCCACTGTGTAAGATGTCCTTAGAATTTGCTCATCAGACATGTCTTTTAAATCAGGATTAATGAGTTTGTTTGATCTAGTGGGTATCACAAAATACCCACAGAATCAGCGCTAGGTTTGCTCCCCTGAAGCCTAGCAAATAATCAGTTATGGAGTCCTTGGGGTTCTCTGAGCTTGGTTGTTTTCTTGCAAATGTTTCGTTACCCAAGATGTTACCTAGCCGGGTAACGAG